GGGGGGGGGGGCAAAACAACTTATTTTCTGATTATGCTGAAATACAGAGGACAAAAAGGAAAAGTAAGGGATATCAAGTCTTCAGGTTTGAGCTCTTATGAAGCATCATGATTTTGATTAGATTAAACATTGCTGACTTTCTGGTTTAAACATTTTTCTCTGTTCCCAAAAGAAGCACGTTTAAAATGTTACCCAGACAATTCACAAAATGGAAATACATATTATGCATCCAATCAATAATTTAATAAGTTATTGAACAGTAACAATATAACCTTTCAAAGATAACACAATACAAAACGTACTACCACATTTATTTTGTGTTACAGCAATAGTAAACCAAAAATTCAGAAAGCATGATAATCTGAAAAAGTTCTCTGGAAGAAAAAGTTCAAAATGAAATGAGGTGTTACAAATTTAACATCCGTCCTCTTTACAAAACTGTTTCATCTTGTAAGAGGTCTAACGACGTGTAAAGCGTAAGAAATTAAAATTTGTTACTCTATTTCCTTCCGTTAAATAAGTAATCTAACATGTAATATCACTTTCATTTAAGTCACAGATACTTTTATTTTCCACATGAAAAGATTGTAAATGAACTTATTTAACACAATACCACAAGATCAACATTGGGAAGGTTTTTTGAGGTGCTGCCGTAAGACTTTCCATTGAGTATTGGTTCGTAAAACTCAGTCAATAGTACAATAGAACTTTGATACTTAGACAAATAGTCAAAACTTAAAATTAATTTTAAATGCAGTTGATATGGATGACATTGATGACAATGAAAGAAGAACAAAGTTTCTGCCGGTAACTTCCTGATTCAAGAAAGCCAAGAGAGAACAATACCAACAATTTTAAAAAAAAAAAAAAAGAAAAGGTAAAACTTGAAGAAAAACTCACTGGAAACATGAAATTTATAGTAACAAGACAGAGCTAGATACTGACAGTCTGACACTGAAACTAATTGAAACATCTTATCTCATATCATCCACTCACCAATTAGTACAGTAATGAAACTTCTTCAAGATTAAAGGTCTTTAAATAAATTTAAACAAGAATAGAAATGCATCTGTCTTTGCAGTTGATTATTCCACCAAATCAAGGAGATATGTGTCAGCTCTTAATTACAACACACAACACAGCCCCATAAAATTATTAATCAGTCAAATAAAATACTACAGTAATGTTTACCCACATAAAAGACACATAAATAATAATAATACGGAACACCTTTCTTTTCTTTACTTCCAATTTAAGAACCAGAAGTAGAAGTGTGATTGACAGTGATTGCATCAATAAATGAACACAAAGAGAAAAGAATCACAGAGAGAGCAATGCAACTTGACACTGCTAAAATGTACATCTAAAAATCTGAAAATAATAAATTACTTTGTAGCACACTGTGACATGAACTTTGTTCCAAACTAGGAAATAGATTGATAGATTTTTGAGTTGATAAACTAAATGCTGTCTTGAAGTACAAACTCAACCTTCCAAAAATTAGTGGGCAAGTATTCACAGCTAAGTCAAACAACTCTTCTGCAAGAAGGACCACAGAAAATTAATCAAAACAAACAAAAGTTATCTCTTAATGGCTGGAGTAAAGTTGTAAGTATCTTCTTGACACAATTGTCTCAAAACACACCATACCAATATTTTAGTAACAATAAATAGCACAGGTAAAACATGTATGTGTGTCACCATAAATTTCATTCAAATTCCTACAAATTTAAGGTCCAGTCCGAGAACACATTTTGACTAGAGGAAACATTCTTGTTTCAGACACTTCAAAGGGCAGCTTCTTCATGACACTTCTTAGCCACAATAGTTTCAATATACCAAGAGCATATGGACTAAATGAACCTCAGCTCTGCAGTACATAGTAAGTCACATTCAAAAGACAGAAGACAGATCACAACAATTTGTATCTAATGTGACATTAAACAATTTCAATTTGTGCCCCCATTATTACTATAATTACTATGATTATTTGAAAATGGTGATAAAACAGCTGAAGCAGTTGAATTACTGTCGTCTATATCACACAGATATTGCTGAAGAACACTGACAAGTGCCCGTCTCTTAAAACGAAGTGATTCCTCAATTATCTCTTCAAGCACTGGGACACGGACTTCCACTCCTCCCTTTAATGTTTGTAATAGTTCTAACAACGGAGCAAAATCTGTTTGAAAGTGAAAAAAAAATAATTTAAAAATCTTGGGACGTTTTTATAAAATATTTTCATGCTGTAGCAGTATATGTGGAAATAACTTACTTTTACCAGGGCGGCGAACTTCCTTATACACCTTAGCCCGTACTTCTAAGTTATGTTTTCGGATTTCTGCAAGCTCGCGCCGAGCCTGTTCTCTATTGACAGCTACATTGTTGAGATGGACAGGCTGTATGCTTGCATCAGGTACAACAACATCCCCATTACATTGTATTGGAGCTTCCTGAGGTTGCTGAGGTGGATTGATTACAACTACTGCAGGAGCAGGCAGCTCTCCAACAACCATAATTTCAGGAGGGTTAGGTGCATAGCCTTCCACTTCTACTGGATCTTCACCTTAAAGAAGTAATAAATTACGAATTTCAATTAAACTTGGTCAAGGAGCATAACTGATAAGTATAACTGCTGAAGCTAGCAAAACAATAAGAGAAGAAAATAATATAAGGTGCTGCTTACCAGCAGGTCCATTAGGTAAACCGGGTTGCTGGGCATCTGCATTAGGGACATCTCCAACAATTGGCACAGGAAGAGGTGCTTCGAAGACAGGAGCAGGTGATGGCGGAGGCGATAAATAAGGTGAGCTCACAGGAACAACTGGTGGGGGAACACCAGGCACTGGTGACCGAGGTCTTTGTACAACTAAGTCTTTGGGAATAGGTCCTGGTTTTCGCTTGTTTGGAGGCGCTCGATTTGGATCATTCATTTGGCCTGCATTACGGGCAGCATTCCTCTTGTTTGCTCGTTGATGGCCGCCACCACCACCACCTCCTCCTCCACCACCTCCACCAAAGTCAATGTCAGCTTCATCCACCATCATACTCTGAAAATAATAATGAAGACATTGAACATTTTAATTCAATAACATTTTTAAAACGAGTAAAATATGAGGAAAGACAATCTACCTTGTCAATTTTGAATGGATTTCCAAACATATGTTGTCGTACTGGAACAGATTCAATTTCACGCAGTTGTGGTTGCTGACGTTTCAAATACTCTTGATAGTTGCCCATTTGACTGACCGGCATACTATGCTTTAGGTCTAAAAGAAAAAAAGTCCAAGTAGAATGAACAAATACCACAAAACAACTGCTTTGAAAATAATGGAAAGGAAGAGAGACAATATTAACACACCTTCATCCATTATCTTAGTGTGAGCAAGAGTTGGCTGAAGGAAATTTGCTCGCATTCTAACCACTTGATCAATTAAAGTGCGCCTGGGGATATCAAATGCATTTCTATAACTTTGAACACCGCGTATCCCTGAGCTGCGTTCAATTCCTGCCTGAAATCCTCCAAATTCGCTCAGTTGATCTTTGAGACTATTAAATTTGTCTGAAGGAAAAAATAAAATAATTAGAAAATCAAACAAGATATACTATACTGTATGTTAGCATGTTTAAACAAATCCCAGTGGAGTGTTACCATAAAGGAGAGGATGTGATATAAGATCCTTTTTCAAAGGAGATCTTGGCACAACACGAATGCCTTCGGTTGCAGTGTTGTTGGATGCTCCCATGGATAGTCGATTAACATTTGATGCAGCCTTATTACTCACTTCACTGCAAAGTCTGAACAAGAAAATTTACATTAGAGTAAAAACAAAATACCAAGCTCTACTTGCTTGAATTTCTGATTGAGAATGTGGGTAGGTATTACAGAAAATTGTATCCTTCAAATGCACTAGGAAAGGTCTACTTACTTTTCATACTCCATCTTAGCTGAGGACTTAAGCCTCTTTAAATAATTAAGACAAGCATAACTAAGGAAACTATCCATTGGTTCTGGTAGCAATACAGTAGGGAGGGTAGGAGTAGCTCCCATTCGCAGTAATGCTCTCCTCAGGGGCTGTTGCAGAATTCCAAAATGAGCATAATGGTAAATAATTGCATGCCTTAAATGAAAATAAAATAATTTTCATCAAAGTATCTTACCCCACAGTAGTACGGTGGCATTGTTCTAACATAGTTTTGAAATGTTGCTCGCCAATCCGCTGACGGCTTAGAGCGATGGACTTTAAACAAATCATCCAATAAAGGTAGGAGAACTGGGTAATTATAAGGCATTACAAATAAATTAACACAACTCAGATTTGTGCTTGCTTTTAAATAACCAAACGGATGTCCAACATCAGATATCTTGGATGAATTAGGAACAAACACCTGCATAGGGTATGAATGAAATCATTAATACTTCAGCATCAGCAACATATATAGTATTTGAATAGAAACAGAAATATTTGCGTACCTGCCAACATACAGTTGGCTGCTTCCGGGCCAAAATGAATTGAGTCAATGGGGAAGGTTCAAGCTCATATTTATCAAATGGTAAGTTTTCAATTACCATTGGCTCTTGAGGAGCACAAGCAAACTTAATATTAGGGTGTGCTGAACGAGGTGGCTAAAAAGTGAGAGAGCACTGGTTATCAAAACACCTTAATATTAATTAGAATTAGAAGAACTTCACACATGGGACAAAAATCCAGCAATGAGAGAAAATTGTTAACAAGCAAACAATATCTTACCAATGTGTTAGCTGTAGCATCTGGCCAGAATGACTCTGGAATAGGCCAAAACCCTAAATTAAAACCTTTCTGTGCATTGCGTGGAACATAAATCAGTTTCCGACAGTTGTGCCAAGCAGTTCCAGCAGCAAGATTGTTCCTAGCCTACAGGATAAAACATACATTTAAATTAAATGAGAGACTGAGGTCATTTGAGTGTTAATTATCTATCAGAACTTACAATGTCATTTGCATCATTGTTTGGTGGGTTTCCCTCACCATCTTCATCTCCATCATCAAGCCGAATCATACCTTTAACAGAAAACAGGTTTAAGTTTTTATGCATTGGAGAGAGTAATGTTAAGTTCAGTAGGAAGGAAAAGAAAAATAATAATGACTTACCTTCACCTGGTAAAGGTATAGGATCAGGGCCGATTTTTTCAAAATTGACCACAACACCACTTTGAACTTTCAGGACCAAACTATCCACACATTGCATCAACATGCGCTGTGAGGTAATGCTGTAGGAGCGACCTAGAGAGGAGACCGTAAATTATATGTAGAGAATTCTAATAATCATGTAATTTAAACAAAATCCAGGTTATACAAGTGGCTTAAAAATTTTGCCTGCTTTATTTAAAGAACAGGGCTGAGAAGCAACTAATCACTGCAACATTCAACTTACCTCCTGTTACTTCACACATTGTCTCAATAGGTGAATCATCAGTGGGTACAAGTCCTGAATCCCTATCAATAGCAGGAGTACCAGCTAAACGCAGTACCAGCGAGAACAATCGCTGATCCCAACGAAATGGTTCACGTGTCAACTCAGAGCCAGGAATTGGCGAATGCATTGGAAGAGTAAACTATAAAGCAAAAAAAAAAAATATTCCATAAGTAAATTATTTTAAATTAAGAGAAATTATTTGAAAAAGATTGTTGGTACAAGAACATACATCTTCCTGGACACCAGTTGTACAGGAAAGCTTCCCTCCATCAGTGATGACGACTATGACTGATGGCTCAAGGAAAAATGGGCATCGTCCTTGCCCATAAGTATCAATGCCAGTTTGCATACGATTAATATTCAGAACATCAAAAGCATTTTTAAGAGCAGCACCCATGGATGTAAGCCCAACACACTGAATATTTTTCAACTCATTCATGAATGTACCCAGATTTTCCTTCCACCCAGCCTGAAATAATACAAAAAACAAATAAAAACAAGATTAAATTAAAATAGAAAAAAGTATGTATAAGTTACACAGGAACACGGCGAAATAATCTAATTACCTTGATGTGATTTGGTGGATCCTCAAATGTCAACAGCATGTACCTATCCCCCCGACTCTCTGGTATTCTCTGACGGACCTGTGAGAGCAGATAACAATGGTATTGATCTCAATATGCTACTGTTGAACATAATGTACATATGGGAAATTTAAAAAATAAAATTTACGACTTGTCAAGCAGAAGCAAAAAAAATAATAGTAAACAGAAGATGTAAACATGGTTATTATTATATATTTAGTGAACCACAATTTATGTTACATGATACAAACGAATAAAACCAATCTAAATTACTAGAGCCGACAGACAACCTCTAGTGTAACTGTTGAGGGCGTTTTACTTTCCAAAAAGAAAGGAGAGGTTAAGTATATGGTGCAAACAACTACAGACGTGTGAAAATTTTGCACTGTGTACCTACCTTCACGAAAGTTTCTACAGCTCCCTTCGCGACATCTAAAAGTGTTGGACGGCCACCTAAAAAGGCCCTCTGGCTCATAGAGGCCGAAGTATCTATCAAAAATACAATTATAGTCATACTGAATGTCTGTTTGAGGACAAATTCTACATAATACAGCAAAAATTCATTAATTCGACCAGAGGATGTCCTCTCAGCACGGCGCGTAAGACGCCATTTGAATCACGGCCTTGCAAAAGACAAGACTCGGTTTTAGTCGGCTTAGATGGCGGTGAAATGGGAACAAGCTTGCCAACAGATCAGACATGTACAATTTTAAATGACTCTAATACAACTTCAAAACTTTAAAGAATCACATTTAAATGACTCACATAACTAACTTGTTCAATTTTGTCATAAAACTCGAGTGATAAAGAATACTGAAATGTCAAAGTCTACGTAAAGGATAGCCTGATCCAAGCGCGCGAACGCGCGAATGCGAGTATAACTTGATCTCGAGACTTAATTGTTCCGATCCCGATCGTTTTCCAAATTCAACAAACTATTGAGGATTCAAGTTAATTTGCAGTTGGGCTTAAGCTTATCGAACTCTTGGTCCAAACCCTTGTTCTATAATCTTTCTCCTCCACCATTGGACATTATTGGATCGGTTACTCGCCGCATGCATGCTCGCTGTGATCGCCGACTAGGGGCGCGCTCTTCTCAGCTAATTAATAAGAATAGAGTACCCTATCTAGTCACAAAAAATAAAAATTTATTGTAAAATCACTGACGCCGATAGGATACCTAAAACAAATGACGTGACCGTAATGACGCCAAATTTGGTGTACTTGTGACATATTCGATCGGGACTTCCCTGTTCTCCTTGGATCGGTACATATCGACAGATGACCCAGATGACCCAAGACCTCAGCTGAAGATCTTTTCTGGTGAAATGACATAGCCGAAATATTTGTTTTCATGTGCTGGCTCATGATTTTCCCTAGGTTTGTGGTTTCATTGACATATTAAGGCTTTATCAGGTTAAGAAGTTGAACAGTTGAACAGTTGAACAGTGTACCGTAAAACAGGCTAATATGGACCATGCGGGGTAATGTGGACCACCCTCTTATTCCTATGTCCCACTTCTGTTTGAGTTGCGCAACCAGTGAGCTGTCGCCCAGCATTGTCAGGAACAAAACTAAGTGGTAGTACCAGTCGAGCAGAAGCGGAATATAGAAAAAAGTGGGTGGTCCACTTTACCACGCATGGTCCATATTACCCTGTTTTACGGTAACAGTTTCATTTTGCATGATATTTGGCAATATGGAAATACCATACCACCTACGTCCAATACAGGGCCTTGTCCTCTGGACCTCACCAGTTGTACAATAAATAAATAACCACAATGTTCACATTTGGGTTCATTTGGAATAAATATGGGATATAAACATATTGTGAAGGTCATGGTTATATTCCCAAACATCATGCAAAATGGAACTGTAAAATTGTTAAACTCATTAACTTCATTAATCTTCAAAACTTCTGACAAGAAAGAAAATATCCTCCAGCAATACAAAAATAGGTGGGTATATGTGCTTCAAGTTGAGTAGTACCTAGCCCAAGAGTATCCAGGCCAAGAGTCAATCCACACCCTCATAAAATTGTTTTAAAATGTTTATAGATAAATTTTAATTTTTTAAATTTCGAAGTTCTCTGATTTTTTTTTCTGAACTATTAGTTTTTAGAATTTTTGACATGCCATGGCAATCTGTTTAGTAAATTTTCTACAATATTGCGCTATTTCTTTTAAATTTTTTGAATATAGGTTAGTTACTTTGAGTGTATGTGGAAGCCAAACTTGGTAAGACAAATTAGAAAAAGCATATTGATGAAAGGTGCACAGACTATATACAAAAGAATAGAATAGAAATTTTGAGGTACGCAGTGCAGTCATGAAATATTTTAATCTGAGTGATTGTACAATACATACACAACAATAATTGATAAAACATCAACAAAAATAATAACAACAACAAGATAGCCAAAAATTGAGATGCTATAATGAGGAATGTTGACTAGCACTATAGCTTCTAGTTGGCAAGTAAAAATTACAACACTGGGTCAGATCATATTTACAGAACAATTTGGGTTACATACAGTTTAAATGCCTTTTTGGTATTACCTAGCTTCATTCCTAAAGCTTATTCGGTTTTAAAGAAGATAGAATTACCTATCACATAATTAATACCACATGTACGGTGTGTACATGAGTACAAGCTATAAATCACTCTGAGGTGAAAATAATAAAAATCCAATAGACCAAATAGGTACTAAAAATATTCAGAAGAACACCAATTTCTAGATTCAATACTAGACAGATACAGATTACAATCACGTTACAATAATCTGGAATATTTTTTACAATGCACGACAGTATCTTTATTAATAATACTAATTGCCAGTAAATTTGGGTAAATATATGTTACATTACATATGGTATTTGGGAGAACGATCTAAAGATGCTTTATCTACCGCAATTCTAGAGGTCACAAGTCATACATTTTTGTAGTCTGTAGAGCAGTTCAACCAAACAGTCCGTAGCAAATTGAGAAAATGTTTTGTGAAACATACCAGATTCTGTCATGCAAAGTAAAAATAAAATACAGAAGTCAGGAATTGCACATAAGCTATAAAGGAATAAATATACACTTTTATACACATCATAATTACAATAGACTAAATCACAAATTTGTTATTCTCAAAGGTATTAAACGATCTAAAACAATTGACACTAATTGATAGGCCGCCTCTCATATAACACTAGATGGAAGTGTGTCAAGGGAATTAGGGGGAAGGGAGGAAATAGGCTGCCGTCGAGGAATTGTAGAAGAAGACAATTCTGGTGCCCCATTGGCTTGGAGTAGCTCAATTAGATGACCAACATTTGGATCTGGAGATGCTTGACGTGCTGCAGCCCGGGCAAGGGATAAGCAAGTTTGTCCCTCTTGATCCACAGCTTTCACATTAGCATTATGCTGAAAAATAAAATGAGCAAAATAAATTACAATAAACAGGCTAACAGCTACAAAGAAATTTCTTGAATTTCAATACACACCCATATTAAAAGTTGAGCAATTGCTACATTGCCAAGAGCGCAGGCAAGATGCAAAGGATTTCTCAAGTCACGGGGACTCACTGTGCTGTTGACATGTTCGGGCGTACAGTGTGCCAACAGAGTATACACACATTTCATATCAGCCCTGAAAAAGAAATCAAAGAAAATTAGTAAAGTGCTTTAAAAAAGGCATGGCTGATGATCAGTTCAAGGGGCAATAAAGTCTTGAGTACTAACCTACACACAGCATCAATTAGCTGTTGCCCTAAAGGAATACCAAGGGAAGGCGGGGCAAGAAATTCTTTTCCCTCATATTTTGCTCTTATCCATCTTTCCTTTTCTTCCCTACTTGAATTTGGAATAGGTTTGGCAATTGCAGTTGTTCGAGGAACTCGAGCTTCCCAAACGCCATTAGCAAGAGCATTTCCCAAAGCAAGCATTACACTTAAATGGCCTTGTCTGGTGGAAATATAGGAAAAATTAATAAATAAATTTCAAGTATATTTTTGCGATTGTAACATACACAGGAGAATATACTTACGGCCACTCATCCAGATCAAGAGATCGCACACGGGAAATATGCGAGCCCAGATTGCGATGGATCCCTGAACACTCTATACACATTAACACACCAAGGTTAAGAGATGCCCAGTCAGGATCTGAAATTTAAAAAATAATAATTAAACACTGGAAACTTTTTTACGACATCTAGAATTAGGTAAAAAGTCTTTCAACAGCTCAACTTACTTGCAGCATCACAATCAACACAGTTGGTATTTCCATGGACTCTAGCCCGAATAAGTTGAATCGAAGTTGTGTCAACAGCTCCATGTAAACGGGATCTTGACTTACTTATTTCATTTCCCTGCAATTTAAGAAGAACGAAGTCAGAATCAGATGAAATAAATTTTGTTATTTGTTTGGGGAAGAACATCCTGATAATTTTTCTGACCTGCAAAGAGTTAAGAATCTGTTGTTCTATAGCTGAAACCCATTCATCCCTTTCTTCAGAATTTCCAGCTTCAAAATGCCATTGTTTGTTATCTAGTGATACAATAAAGAATTCATATCCATCTGAGTCATCACAGTCCGTATTTTTAAGACTGCTACTTTTCATCCTTCTATGTCTTTTTTTGACATTTGGGGTCTCTGACATTTTCCCGTCAGACCCATTTAATGTATGACCATTGATTGAGAAGTTTAAGGAATCATCATTGCCAGCAGGTTGCAGCATTCGATTATTGGCATCCTTCAGCATTTCAAAACCTGTGAGTTGCACTTTGTCTGTTGGTCTTTTATCTTTGCCTTGGAAACCTGTAGAAAATATGAGTTATGATAAGACAATTGTAAGGCGAAAAATTTAAAATTGAAAACAACCTGTTTTTAAAAGATTAGTAATAATAATATTAGAAACAATGATCAAAAAGGATAACTTACTTGTTATGGTTAGACTGTTAAGACCATCACTAACACCATTGCTGCCAACTGACGCATTGCTGGTATTTATAGTTTTCGACCCTCTTGGTTTCTGACCGGGAACTTTCACAGTCACATACTGCAGGGAAATTTCTTTCCCATGTACATCATCCATATAGTCCTAAGAATGATAGGAGTACAAGATAGACAATTTAAGTAACAATACAACATAGTTTTATAATCTACACAGAAACTTTATAGCAAATTAGGAACATACATGTAGGCTGGGATGATATGTAAGTTTTCCATCATCACATAAAGTTACATATTTTTTCTTCCATTCTTTGTTTAAAGCTTTGCTGGAACGCTTATAAAGATAACCCTGCTTAAGAGGAATTGCTCTTCCACTTCCCAGTTCACCATTTCTTAATTTATCCTCCCCCTTTTTAGATGGTGTAAATAAGTTTGATCTTCTCCTGCTTTTCCTGAAATTAAAACAATTAGTTTTTAAGAGAGAAAGTAATATAAGAAAAAGATATTGAGAACTATGATTAAATGTCTTTCTATATACATACCTTGATGTAGTAGGAGTTGAGCTAGGAGTTGGAAGGTCTTTTCCCTCTTTGCTTTGAGGCATGCTTAAGGAATCATAGCCTTGAGGAGGAGCAAATCGAGAACCGATATTCTCAAAACCTTGTGGAGGAGCTATCTTCACTGACCCATCAAATCCTGAGTGTGTCGTGTTTGGAGGTGGTGCTGCCAAACATTTCACCATTAATAAATTGTTATTTTCCACTGCAGCTGCGCCTAATGGGCCAGAGGCAGACCCAACAGCCTTTTCTGCTTCTGCTGGCCGCATAGAATCAAGCTTGTTTGAGTCATGATGACGCATCCCTGAGGATAGTGTGTGAACTTGACGGCTTGATGGGATGGATTGAGACATACTCATGACCTCCTGAGGAAACAGAATTGTTACAGATATTAGTTCTATAGAGAATAGTTCTATATAATTAACTATATAGATATAGTGTTGTATCAAGGAGAGAGAGAATACCTTGTGGGAAAGAGTGTGGTGACCATGTGTTGAGGGAGATCCGCCTGATGAACTACTTGTGTTTAGTCCATTTGATGAAGCTCCGGTGTTTGTGATGGTAGGTGTTACAGGCATGTTTTGATGAATGATTCTTGCATTGATAGGTTGAGGCTGAGGTCCAGGCTGTGGTGATGAAAAATTACCCAAGGGTGTTGATGGTCTAGAGTTGCTCGGTGTCAAACAGGATGATGATGCAGAGAGACGCTGGTGCACAATCTTTTGACAGGCTGGAAAATGTATGAGGGGAGAACTGTTAGCATTAGGTACAGCTTGTAAAATTCATCTCAAAATAAAAAATCTGGAACCTTACCATCCTGGAAAACTCTTTCCACATTAAGTCCATAAGTGGCGCAAGTTTCATAGTAAGAACACCGCTTCAAATCAGTAGCCAGTTTGCGGGCTCGAGAGTCATCAATAACCCTTGGATTGTTTTCGCTGATAGCATCTGCAAATATAAAGAGAAATGTGTAAGTTGCTTTCAAAAGAAAGAGACAACAAAGATACAATCATTTGCGCACCCATTTTGAATTGCACTTCATAATACATCTCTAGAATTAAGGTGGGCTAAACCACATAAGAAAGATACGTGAGCAGACTTGAGGGCCAAACAAGTGAAATACTTTTCCTCAAGACCTACAATAAGTTTCAGACGCCACTGACAGCCGGGAAGGTCCGCCGGCGGAGGGGCCGAGAGGGACGCCACCAAGGGTGGGGAAGGGCAGGGGGA